CAGACCAATTCCTCCATGCTACAATGGCCAGTGTGCTTGACTGTCCTGTATTACTCTTTGTAAGGAAAATGGGGCTGATCTCTTCAACTGCTTTACATAGAACAAACTTTCCCTATTTGCAGTGTCTCTCTTTACCTCTTCCAGAACTCCTGTAAGCTTTTAATGTTCATTTGAGATAGGTCATTACTGCTGAAGATACTCTGTAGATGAGACTGTACTCTTGGTTCACTGTAGGTTTTGACAAACCTTTCTAAACAATGATTCTCTGGGGGGAGGGCCAAGCAGTACAGTATGGGAAACATATGTCTTTATTTCTTCATTTGAGCCAGGCCTGTAAAATTCAAGATAGAAAGCCAGGTGATTAATGCACAGGGCTGAGAATCAAGAGAAACTATTTCTCCTTCAGGCTTCCTTAATGGTGTCCTATAGAAAACCATGAATGCAAAATGTAACTATGTTCATAATTTCTGCAGTAACAGATTGGTGCATTAGCTTGTGAAGCCCTTTTCTGGTAAGTAACATGCCAATATACATATTCATGAGTATTCTAATTATGAGACTATATTTGATGTGCAGTGCTGGTTATTTTATTAAAGAGTATCCACCTGTTTTAGCAGGATTGAGTTGATTGCATGGGTTTGATTATTAGACCTTTTGCATTCCCTGATATTAATAGATTAAAAAACAGTAAATAGGAGCTCAATGCCAAAAGAGGAAATGGAGGGTTTCAGTCACAATAATGACATTATGTGTATCAGATAAAATGAAGCTATTTCACTGAAACTGGAAAACTTTTTAACCTATCTGGCAAAAAATTCCAGGGACAAGTCCATATGTACAAAAACATCCTAGCTGGAAGGGAAGAAGTCATGGTATTAATAGCCCTTTGCCTCCTAGCATCTTATCACTGGATTAAGATTAACAAGTACAGACTGAAGAGTCGTAAGCAGATATGGTTGTGTGCTTGATTAGCAATTATTTAGGTCTTATTTGTGTAACATTCTTCCTGGCTTGAATTTGCCCCTGTGATAGTCCTAAAGGCTATTTTAAAGTGTGTTCAAAGACTATTCAGAACATATAATCAGCAGAGTGTTTGATTAAAGCTTTTACAATAGTAAAACTGCTTTTTTAAAAGGGTAAGGAGAAACAGCTTCAATCTAGAAAACAGCATATTCTTCATTTTAGTTCCAGGACAATCCTTTTAATCTGATTCAGATATTTACATTATACTAAAGCCCCTCTGGAATTAGGGCTCAAAATGTAACCTTTTGAAAGATACAGCCTTCACAGCTCTATCAGACCTATCTTGTGTGTTTTTCTACACACAAGGGTGTATAGGGTCATGAGAACGTCTAATGAGCACTGGGACTATTGGACTGCTTATTTATATATTGAATATATAGAATATATATTCAATATTATACATTACATCAACATTAAATATGTGCATAAACATTGCATATATATTCAATATTATTTAGCATATATATTGTATTTTCATATATAATATTCAACTTATAATATGTATTAAATGTATAACATGTTAAATGGGAATGTTTCATTTCATGAGTTAGGTTATTGCACTTGCTTCATAAAGTCTGAGCTGACTATCCAAAGCAACTGTTGAATAAGGTTTTTCAGATCGCAGATATCAACAACTGTTCACTGGCAATGCTTTGGTAGAAGAATTGCAGTTTAATGCATAAGTAGTGTGATAAGCTTAGCGTAATCTTGGAGAGAACATTAAAGATAAGAAGCTCTGTTAGTGTCAGTTTGTATATTTAAAAACTACCTAATCAAGACACTCTTCTGTAGTATTGAGGTATAAATTAGATCTCAACAGTAGGAATATTAATGGCTGTGCATAGCATTTATTTTAGCATTGTCTGTTGCCCTCTGGCATTCTTTCTCTGCCTTTGGCAGACCCCTGAATGAATTACCATTTTTTTAGCCAGAGTTTAGAAAAAACTTAAATCCACTTTTCTGTAGGAGGCTTGTAGCTTCCAGGGGATACTGTGACCAGTTGTGGTAACAGTGATACCCACATCTCCAGTGTGCTGTGTGATGCAGTCCATGCATGATTTTTGTGTTGTTCTGAGACATGTTCTTCTTTTTTCTTGCAGGAGAGCCGGAATTTAAATACGTTGGGAATATGCATGGAAATGAAGCTGTCGGAAGGGAGTTGCTCATCTTCTTGGCTCAGTACTTGTGTAATGAATACCAGAAAGGAAATGAAACTATTATCAACTTGATCCATAGCACACGTATCCATATCATGCCGTCTTTGAACCCGGATGGCTTTGAGAAGGCAGCATCCCAGGTTTGTATGGCTACATGTGTACGAATAGTTATCAATGTCTATATCAACCTGAGGATCATAACGAGACTTAGACTAGCATTTTTACAGATACATTTTCTCTTGGGGGGGGTTGATTGTTTAATGGAACAGCATAACTTAAGTATTTCCTAATAGTACAGTAGGCTTGTTCTGTTTAACAAAGAGGATTTTATTCTTGTGTTTTCAACAAATAGCCATTTCTTTTGTGAGTTTACTGTATTTTTAAATATAATTATGTTTATAGTTGATATGATCTTTCTTCTGAGTTCACTGAAGGAACTGCTTCCTAAACAAGTAACTTCCAGTAGTATGTGATGTTTCAAAAATAGTAGAGAAAGGAAGATTGATGTCTCCTTTAAGAATATTCTCATGTAAATGCACGTATGTGAATTACTCACATTCACAAGCAAACTTTGTGAGCCATCTTTTTAATACGAAAACTTCACGTCTGAATTTCAGGCATGAGGTACTTTGAGCAAGTCAAGAAAATTTAGCATGTATTTTAGAATGACAACTCAGTCGAAGAACATGTAATGTGTTAATGCATACTTAGCAAATAGAGGCCGGATAAGACAATGTTATATACAGCTTCTGGTGTGTATTATGTTCTAAACAAAAATAAGAATTTTCTTGTTTGACAAGGTGTATTTATTTTTAAAATTAATATGGAAATGTTGACTTTTTATACGACTATTTATTTATGATCAAATAAGTCAAACCTTATTAAAGTCTTTATTAAACTGATTTTCATGAAGTCTTTAAAAACACCTCAGAACTCTTTTAAACCATATTTGGTCGTATGTCTCCCTCTCGTGGCAATGAAGCAGAAGCTGTCCTCAAATTGAAGCAGTATTTCACTTGTTTGAAATCTCTCTCAGTAGAGATTCTGTAACAATCAGTCAAAGTAAACTTGCTTTTACGGAATTGCCTTACAAATTATATATGATTTATAATACAATTTGCTTTAGTGTCGCTATTATTCTAATTCAGAAGTATCTTGATCCTGTATGCAGTGTGACAATAGATTCAATATACCTTAAGATTAAAACCAGTAATAAAACTAAACCTACTTTACAGAGTACTGAAAGTTTACCGAGACAAGCTAGGGAAAATTTTGTGTTCTGAAGGCATTTCCTTAATGCAACACAAAACCTATTTCAGGGAATCAGCTTAAAGAAAAGATTTTTGCAGAAATTCTGACTGCATCTTCCTTCAGTGTCACTATTGCAGTGAATGAAGCTGACAGACACTGTAAGAATATAAAATCTTAGGTAAATAAAAGTTAAGGTCTTTCTTTACATTGAAGCCACGGAGAGGAACTTTGAAACAAATGGAAACATTCCTTGCAGCTGGCTGGTAAATCTACAGCTGTTCTGAGGCTCACTAAAATAAGGTCTGTAATTTGTGAGCTTGAGCATGAGGCAACAGGGAAAAGCCGAGTCTTGGAGAAGAACTCAGCAGACGCTAGAAAATATGATGTTGTTTGTAATTTTGTCCATCCTTAGTCCAGATCTGCCACTATGAGAATGATCCTCTTCTCCAAGTCTCGTTTTGTTCCTGTAGAGCTCTAGGAAGAAACAGGAGTGACTCAGGTCTTGGTGCTTCTGAAGTTTTGCTCCCATGTGAGCCCTCCTTATTCTCAAGAACATGAGAAGTAAACCATAATTTTTAACTTGCATGGCTTAATATACCCATGTAAAGCTTGATATGTAACCCTGAATCTAATAATCTCCCTTTACTTTGCTCATTCAGCCTGGTGAACTTAAAGACTGGTTTGTTGGTCGAAGTAACGCCCAAGGGATAGATCTAAACCGAAATTTCCCTGATCTTGATAGAATAGTCTATGTTAATGAGAAAGAAGGTGGCCCAAACAACCATCTGCTGAAAAACTTGAAAAAAGCTGTGGACCAGAATCCCAAGGTAAGTATGGGCTGAATATCGGGTCACCTCCATGCCCATCTCTTCTCTTTTATGCAAGCAGGTATGCAGCATCCGCCAAGAGCTGTGTGTATGGCCTTTCTGATTCACGTTCTTCTAAATATTTTGTTCACATTGTTAAATTTATCTGTCTGATGATTCTTAAAGTTTTTCTCAAAATGGCTTGCTCTAGTAAGCCCTTTTGATCCATATTGCTTAATCCTTAGACAATTCCTCACTCAAAAGATGTTTTATTTTTAAGGCCAGGGATTGTGTAGCCTCCTAACTTGGTTTGAAGCTATTCTTGCAGATATTCTGCATTTTTACCATTGCCAGAAATTCACTTGTGTATTGTGCTTAATTACTTTGCTGCCTAGATAGGTAGTCTCACATATAACACATGCATTTTTGTTTAAGTTTAAGCCTTAAATATACAAGCATATATCTGGAGGGTTTTTTCATCATCTTGTGTTTACTCTCACAGGAGGTTTTGGTGTATGCAAATAGCGTTGTGAGTCCCATAGGGTTGTAGCCTTAATAGTCCTATTCTGTCTTCAAATTTAAATATTAAATGAAGTAATTTTACTTTCAGTGCAGAAAATTCTACCAAGATTTATTTTGAATTAGTTTCTTTTCCTTGGTTTAAAACTTGATAGACTTTTAGCCTTAATAGGAGGAAGTGAAATATTGAGATTGCTTTATCTGTGATCCTATTCTGAAGTAATTTACACCAGTTTTAGACTTACATTAATCTATTTAGGTTGATTCTGATGTAAAGGAGTGATCCAGTGCTCTCTGAAGCCAAAATAAAATTACTGTTCATTTAAATGGCTTCCACTGTATATGCAATAATAATTAAGCCCAGTATATGTAATTCAGTAGTTTCTACATTGAATTATCAGTTTGTAACTGCTGGTGATACTATTTTCATGTAGCTGGCTCCTGAAACGAAAGGTGTCATTCACTGGATTATGGATATTCCCTTTGTGCTCTCTGCCAATCTTCATGGAGGAGACCTCGTTGCAAATTATCCTTATGATGAGACTCGGAGTGGTAGGTAGTATGAGTTAACATTAAATAGTAGGAGATACAAATTACATGCTATACTTACTTCACTGCTACTTAAGATCCACTTTTGTAAACATGTAAACATGGTATTGTAATGACTTATTTTAATCATATTTAAAGCTGGTCACTGTATGACCATGTTTTTAAGATAGATTGTTTCAGTAGGTTTACATCACAAAAATGATGTAATACCTGAGGGAATCATGGTCCTTCAGATATTTTAATCAAGGCAACTTATGACTTAAATTAGCTGGAGCTGTTTGTACCCGGTTAACTGAGGCAAGAGAGATGTGCCTAGGCTGCCTTGTATCATCTAAGGTTTCTCTACTTGCACCTTTAAAAAATGAACTTCTGAAAGCAGTAGTGTGCTATAAAAACAACTATAATTGTTTTCACGTTCTTAGTATTGGTGCCATATAAAAAGGATCACATTGTGGCAAAGATGTTATAATTTAGCACACAGCAATATTAGTTTGTTTTTTTTCCTGCTGCTAGGGAATGTGAGCATGCATGAAATGGTCATGAGATGATGGTATTGTTTGTGATTGTCTTCCTTCAATCTACTTGCTCCCAGTTTAATTACAAATCCTTTTAATATCATACTGTAAACCCCTTTAGGGAGAGACCTTTCTCTGTTTACTATGTGTAGCTTAGATTTTGTGGTGCACTTTGAAATTAATATTTTCATAAATATTAAGACTGATATGAATAGCCACCTTAATGGGGCAGCCTGGTAGAGGTAATTGATGAAATATTGGGGAAATGCTAATGTTTTTAAGATAACATTATATTAGTTTGTGATGCTGTAGGACTCTTACCCATGTACACGGAATTTCCAGGCACAGTTGTGCTGTGCAGTGCTGGTAATCTAGGTTGTGAGCCCAGTCAGTATGACTTCCCTTTTAATAATCCTTTTTCCTGGACTTTTTTTTTCCTTCTTAGGCAGTGCTCATGAATACAGCTCATGCCCTGATGATGCTATTTTTCAAAGCCTGGCTCGCAGCTATTCTTCTTTTAATCCTACTATGTCTGATCCAAATAGACCACCGTGTCGTAAAAATGATGATGACAGCAGCTTTGTGGATGGAACAACTAATGGTGGTGCCTGGTACAGTGTCCCAGGAGGTGAGCTCCACTGCATGGGGTTCAGTGTCATTGCTGGTTATTTTAAGCTTGTGTTTTTACTGGTTTAATTACAGTCTGGAATACCAAGTTATCCACAAATTTTGGTCTGGTTAAGGCTGAATCAAAGACTATCACCCACAACAGTACTTCTATAAAATCCCATAAACCTCATTGTGATCCGTATTTAAAATATTCCTCTTTAACTGTGTTTTGTACAGTCTTTCTTCAGTCAAGGTTCAGGTCATTGCAAATTTAATAGTTCTACTGTGGGTGAGTGGTTGCTATGCTGTCTTGAGAACTTAAGGCTTTTTTTTCTTTTTTAGAAAAAAAAAAAGAGTAAAAAAAATCCCCTAACAAACTCCAATGAGAGAGAGCAGGCTACTGACTGTTCATTTTAACCTCAATGATGAAAGCATCCAGCCTTGAAAGAAGTGGAGAGGCCTGATTTTGCAATGTTATTGACAGTGGGAGTTAGGCCTTTGATTTCCATGGGAACAAAATCCAGCCTTGAAGATACTTGCATCTCCATACTTCCTGGCTTTATTAAAGCCTGATTCCTGGCCAGGTAGTGTTCTCCTAGACTTTGTTAGGGCCTTCTGTGCTAGGAGGAACAGCAGAGCTGTTATGGTCACTTAAATGCTAATTTCCAGGAGCAGTCTGGAAGAGTAGCCTTAAATGAGACATTTCATTCCTTTTTTTCAAGAATTTTGATATGTCATTTTCTTTGTATATTCAGCCAAAGCAGGTGCTGAGATGTCTAAATCTTTAATCAGTCTTCTGTGTCTGCTAAACTTGGACAGAACCTCAGAGTGAAAACTGAGCTGGGGGTTTCTAGGCTTAGAAACTCAGCTTTCATTGGAGTGATTTGCCTGTGCTTTGGCTTTGTTGATTTGTATCAGATAACTTTGAACACATATACCAATTTTATTGTTTGCTTTTCTCTTAATACTCAATTATAGTCTCTGAGTGAATGAGCAGGAAACTCTCAAAGCATTAGGCTGGCTTAGGTGGTAGCCTGACTCTGCTGCTGTTGCAGGAGTGGGTACTGGAAGAGGAAAATGATTGAGCTAGTGTGAAGAAATTAGAAGCAGAACAGCAACTGGTAGTGCTCACACAGCCAGCTATCACCTACTTAAACTTTGAGTTGTTATTCCCAGTCTTCACAGGAGCAGCATGCTTCCTCTGCTGTGGTACTACAGGGACTGAGTGTAAGGTAAAATGTCAACATTTCTCAATATAACTGAAAAGCTAAAATTTCCCTTTGTGTGAAGCTTTCCATAGACTTTGAATTGGAATCATTAAAACACTCTTGACAAAACAGACTTTGCATAATTTGGAAAAAAATTAATATAAAGAACACATTGAGAGGTTTAATAGTTAAATTTTGTTTCAGTTCAGTCCAAAAATTATCTTAATGAAATATTAACTATGAAAACATGGACATATTTAACTTCAGCTTCTTTTTCCTTAGGAAAATGCTGTAAAAAACAGTCTGTTCACTGTTTTGATGAAATGCTTTGATTCTGACTGAACTGCACATGCCAAAGACACATTTTTCCATTGGAAAAAACTAGTTGGAAAGTTAGAATGCTTTCCTCCTTTTGGATCTTCTTTAAAGTTAGACTGCAATTTCCCCAAGTGGGCCTTTTCTTTTTCTCATGTATTCGTACAGAAGTTAGTAGACAGTAATTCTACTTCTAACCAGGATCTATTGTCCTAATATGCTACAGCTAATAAAAATTAAAGGTATGATAATATGCTTTGGACCATAGAGCATGAATCTGTTGGGTTGTTTGTTTTTTTTTCCAGGTGGCAAGCTGTGACTTTTGAATGAAATCTCCATGGTAATGTTTGCCATGAGGTGACTTAAAAAAACAGCAAAACCAGCAATGTGCCCTTGTGGCCAAGAAGGCCAATGGCATCCTGGGGTGTATTAGAAGGGGTGTGGTTAGTAGGGCGAGAGAAGTTCTCCTTCCCCTCTACTCTGCCCTGGTGAGACCTTATCTGGAATATTGTGTTCAGTTCTGGGCCCCTCAGTTCAAGAAGGACAGGGAACTGCTTGAAAGAGTCCAGCACAGAGCCGCAAAGATGATGGAGGGAGTGGAGCATCTCCTTTATGAGGAGTGGCTGAGGGAGCTGGCTCTCTTTAGCTTGGAGGAGACTGAGGGGTGACCTCATTCATGTTTATAAATTTGTAAAGGGCGAGTGTCAGGAGGAAGGAGCCAGGCTCTTCTCAGCGACAGCCAATGACAGGACAAGGGGCAATGGGAGCAAGCTGGAGCATAGGACGTTCAACCTGAACATGAGGAAAAACTTTTTTACTGTGAGGGTGACAGAGCACTGGAACAGGCTGTCCAGAGAGGTTATGGAGTCTCCTTCTCTGGTGACATTCAAAACCCGCCTGGATGCGTTCCTGTGTGACCTGGTCTAGGTGATCCTGCTCTGGCAGGGGGGTTGGACTGGATGATCTTTCGAGGTCCCTTCCAACTCCTAATATTCTGTGATTCTGTGAAAACAACAAAAGACCCAACTAAAAATAATTTATTGAAAACAGTTCTGTTGTTTCTGTGTCTAGTACTAAGGAAAATAATTAAACTTTGCTTAGTTCAAGTGAAAATTTTCTTGGAAGCTTTAGTCTGGAAAATGGGGCTATTACATTATTGGTTCTATCAGTGACCTTTTGCTATTCATATGATAACACGCTCAGTTAGTAGTGGTATAAGCTGTTCAAAAGCCATTTATACTGCTTTAGGAAAAGTATTTCATTGTATATCCTTATCAGAGTTTAGATTTATCAAGAGAAACTCTCTGAAGACCTTGTCTCCATTGGTACCTGCTCCGGTTCGAAGCTAAGGTGGTGCTTCTCTGCCTTTGCACCTTTGGGTTGCTGTGGGCTGTTCTGGGTGCTGTGAGGGGACATGAGAGTAGCACAGTGTCCTGTGGGCATCTACAGGTTAGGCTTGCCTCCCTGTGGGATCTCCCTGGGTTGAAGGGAGGCAGTATCAAAGAGAATTTGCCTCAAGTTTGTAGAGAATGAGGAAAACTAGAGCAATGTAACTGGGAATAGAGAATAGGTGAGAGTGGATACAGGGCTTGTGTTTGGTGAAGAAAGGAGTGCATGGCTGAGCTTGAGAGAGGCTATGGTCTCCTAGATGCTGCTTTTGACTGTACCTCATCAGACCAAGAGCTCTGAGCTAGGAAGGGATGATTTTTTCATTGCAATAAATTACTAGAGTTGCTGTTGCCCTACAGAGCTTATTATGGTGCCTCCAGTTCTGTGGCATTGATTTCTTTGCATGTATCATCCACCCATGGGAACGTCTACCTTCTGTAAAAGACAGCACTGCATGGTGGGCCAGCAGCAGTCTTCATTGATTCCTCAGTATGTAGGGGTCATATATGGGTGGTGCTCTCATGTGAGTATGGGTTGTTCTTGCATATGTTTTTCTGAATTCCTGGGTTGCTTCAGTAGAAAGGCTGAATGTCTGGTGGCAGAAACATCTGGTAGCAGCCCTTGTCTCACAGTGGAAATAAGGATGAACCCTCCAATGCATTCATGTTCTGGCCTTCCCTTTTGCCAAACCTCAGGATTTCCTCACCAACCTCATGCAAGGTTGCAGTTCTCCATTCAGGTTTTAGCCTGGAGAGAGCCAATGATGTACAGAAATATTTGATGCTTGCTGCTGTCTCTTAATGCTCTGAGGTGTTTTTCAGCTTTACCTGCTTAGTAGTTACTTTCCTCTGTGGAGCAGGTGCACAGAGAAGATAGCTCCCCCAATAGCATCTTTGTGCTAAATCTGAGACTGTGATGCCTGTTACACTTGTTTTGTATTAGTTGTCATCTGTAATTAGTTGATCTTTGTATGTTTTTCAGAGAGCAGCAAGCAAATGCAATGGGGTCATTCTGTGTTCAGGAAAGGCCCTTTTAGTCATCAGACCCTGGGGAAAACAAGGCTGTACATAAAATCCATGCTGTTTTTAACACTGGTCTTCTCCCTAGCAGCATGTAATTAATGATTTCACTTATGCACAACTCAAATTAAATTTGCACAGACAGCTTTAATTTTGGCATTTCCTTAGCTGTTGAGTGCGTAACTTTTCAAAATCACTAATGTTTTTTTAATGTACTTTTTAACATGAAGTATCTATTTAGAAATATAAATGAGAGTAACAGATAGTAATTAATTACTAGCTAGCAACATGCCTGTTCTGCTTGTTCTGTCATTATAGAGTCACCTGAGTCTAATCAGGTTCATGTCACTACAAAAATAGCATTTCAAAGCAGCTTAAATTCCCGCACTTCTAGGCTATTGTTTAAGTGTCTTTATTTTCAGATGCTCTTAAATCACTCTTTGCACTCAGTTAATTCCTAGCTTGAATTATCTTTCATTTTACCAGTCTTGGAAACAATGTTAGGTAATTTTTTCTAGGATTTTATACAACACATGTAGGAGGCACATGTTCTCCCCATTATGCACAAGACTGAAGTTCATCCTGTCCTGCTAAAAGTTACTGTCCTTATATGTGTAGAATCTGAACTAGCTTAGTGCTGTAGCTTGTAGTTCAAAGTCTAAGTAATTCTGATGCCTGGATGCCAGGGGTGCACCCTGCCCTCAGCTTTCTTTGTTTCTCTGTTTCTTTCTTTAAAGCTGAAGAAATTAATTTTCTCCTGCATTCTAAGCTTACTTATGTGTGCAGTAACACAGAGACACTGTAGTCCTTCAGGACAGTAGAGCAGTGCAATAAGGGAATGTTTGTGTTGCTCATTTTTAGAGAAAAGTCTTACTTGTGGTCAGCAGTGAAGGGCAGGAAACTCAGTTATATCTAGGGTCTGCTAAGTCTTTCTGATCTTAAGAAAGTGGTGTCTGTTAAAGTACAGAAAAGTTAGTTTTGTGCTCTCCATTGTTAAAAGAAAAGGCTTTGGAAGTGTGGTGATGTGCATGCATGTGATGTATGCCCTGTGCATAACAAGAAGGAATAGGGCAGTTGCAGAGCTTGACCACCGGCAGCAAAGTTGCTGCAATGTTGAATAATTTTTTTGAAATGTATTGATTTCTTGGATATTGCACCTAATTGCCATATTGAACACTCAGGTGAAGAGTGCAAATTGCATGTAGCCAGCCTGATGCTCTCCAGATTACAGATGCAGTATGCAACAGTTTAGATTTAGACTATCTTCACCCTGTTCTCTGTCCCAGAGATTTGTAACATCGTCTGCAGTTCAGTGGTGCAAGCTGATTTTTTTTCAGGAGCAACACATATAAACTGTAGACCAGGCCAGGAGCTGGGAAACAAGCTATAAGATATGGACATTATGCACAAAACTGGAAAATAATACTGCTTCTTTATTCTGTCTTTGACAAACTAGGGCATCCCTGAGTATCACCTTGCTTTGGGAGGTGCAGGGGGGAACTTCCTGTGAATTGGAGCAGTAATGGTCAAGAGTTGTTGGCATTAAAGTAAAATTACACAGTAAAATTATGCCCTTCGTCTCCTAGTTCTCTTTCTCATGGATTCTTTATTTCTTGTGCAAGAAATGCAAAAATCAAGAAAAACAACATTATGTAGTGTCTGGAACAGCTGCCTGGCAGTCAGCACTGCTGTCAGGATTTTACTCATGACTTTGCTGCTCTCTCGCTGTGTGCTGCTGAATGATCCATCTTGCTTTCTGCCGGATGGGACATCAGAGCTCCCAGCCTTCTGTGTCCTCATTTTTCAGCCATCTAAAAAAAAGGCTTAGAAATAAAAAGGGTTTTTTTAGGGATCTGAGAAGTCCCTGTTCCTATCAGTAGTTAGGAGATGCTTCCTGGTTGGCAGAAAACAGATTCATCCTAATGTGTTGGCAAAATCCCACCTGACTCAATCTGTTTGCTGCCCTCAGGGTTTTCTTTTTGGATATGACATCAGTTCTCTGGACTTTTCTGTACTGTTGGACAACACCAGTGCTTCAGTAAAGAGACTGCATTAGGTGTCATGGGAGAACAAAAGGCTGAATGGATTAGCTGTATCTGAGGCACTCTCTGTGGACATGGTCAAAACGCTTGATAGCTTTTTTCTTTATAGGCCTCTATTTGAGAATCCACTGACTGATGGATAGATAGACTGGAAGGCAAGAACTAATTCTGCATCAGCTTCTGCAAATAATATATTTATAACCCTCCCAGGGACAACCACAGTCCCTCTCCAGCTGGTTGATCCAGTTACAAAACTGGAAACCTTTTTGGTTGTCAATGGACTGATTTGAGAACACAGCCAATATTTCCACATAGGAAGAGGAGAAGCTCAGAAGTGTAAAAGAGTACATCTTTCCTATCAACTTTTTATTCCTAGTGATGATGCTACTATATATATTTTTAAATTCCTATGATTAAAGTTTAATTAATAATGATGTTTCTCTTAATATATTGAAGGCCATCCAATATTGATTTTGCAGAGGCACTGAGTGGGTGGGAAATACCCATATGCCTTTCTGTATAAATGAAGTTTAAAGGAAGTTTGTTTTTGTTTGGTGTTTGGTTTTGGGTTTGTTTTGTTTATTTTTTGTTTTTGTGGGAAATCATAAATATTTTGAATCTATGCTGAAAAGCTTGACAAAGAATATTCCTTAGCAAACACCTGCTTTTCATGTAAAATGTTACTAAGTTGAAACTCCTTATTTTCAGGAAAAATCCCCCACACATTTTGGACCAGTCTTTATAAACCTCTTTTTCAAAGTCACTTTGTCATGTTTCATTCACTTTATAATTAATTGCATTCTTGGTTTACAAAGTGATCAACTTTTGCTTTCATCAGGAAATATTTTAACCATAATCAGAAATAATTTTCTGTTCCTGAAGAGGAAAAAAGTAATTTACATGTCAGCTATCCAAATATGTGACAAGTAGGAGTGTACAGGCCACGGACAATGTCAGGTAGAAGTATACAGGCCAGGTGTCAAGTCTTTTCTGAACTTTCCTTGTGAAGTAAACGTTTTTGGGAATTGATTGTCTTGTTGGTTTCTCTGATTTAATGCCTCTGATTTCAGAATTAAGCTGATTAAATAGAACCACACCAACTGTATTTATAACTATTCTTTTCTTAACAGCCCCAGCATCTCACATGTCCCTTTTACTGTTTACTTCAGAACAAAAAAATGCATCACTAACTCTCTTTTCTGGCCTTGCATGAATGCAGGATTTCAATTACCTTAGCAGCAACTGCTTTGAAATCACAGTGGAGCTTAGCTGTGAAAAATTCCCACCTGAAGAAACTCTGAAGGGCTACTGGGAGGACAACAAGAACTCCCTTATCAATTACATTGAGCAGGTAACAAAAACGAGGATGGCAAAGTTATTGTACATGAAACTTCTAAACTTTGTGTAAACTGTTGTGTAATGCTGTGTAAACATCTAATTTGAAATTTCATGTTAATTCAGTTGATGCTCCATAATTCTTGTATGTCTTTAAGGGGGTAAATCCTGAGTGATCTTTCTAAACGCGTGGAAGAGAGGAAAAGAAGAAAGATATTATAGTATGGAATTTATTTCACCTTACTTAAGCTATTTCATATACTTAGTTTAAATTATTTTTGTTGGCTTCCTCAATAAAAATAAATACACATTTTCAGAGTATAATTCATCCCCCCAGCACTGATATGTATACTAAGAGGAGATGAATTGCCCTCTACAGATAGCAGTGTGCATACAAACATGGGATGAATCACTCTGGACACACAGGGAGCGTAGATGGCTGGATGAGACTGCAACTGCCTGGCAACTCAGTGTAACGTCGGAGCACACCTCTGATCCTGGCTTTGTAGATATTCTGATGCTCTCAGATTGCATGAGCTGCTGATAGTCAACGTAGAGCTGTCAACATGATCATTCCATTAAAAATTATACAAAAATTGGTTCGAAGTGTAAATTGTAGTCACGGGTTTAGATAATCTCATGCTAATGGGTTGTTACAAGTTAATACTCTTGAAATAGATCTCTGTGTGTGTTTGGTTTCTTGTTTGTTTGTTTGGAGTTTTGTTTTGTTTTTTTCTTTTTTAATAATTTCATGCCAGTGTAACAGACTGCACTGAAATGATGGTTCCAGGCACTGTGGGAGTATCAAATTTCTGAAAATTGGCTATTGTAGTTAAAGATCACAGATACATCTGATATCATTAGTGGCTGGTCAGTTAATACATTCATTTCTTTAAGAACCTATTTGTGCAGAAATACAGAAACAGATACTTATACAATACAATACAGAATTGGCCAGAAATCGAAACTATTTGAATATTTGAAGTGTTTGAGTTACACTGTTCCGTTTGTAAGTTGTATGTGGGCTAAGTAACAAACTGAACCTGTCCTGGAGGTTTTTACCCCTTTATTATGGGATCCATCTTAAATTGTTCAGCTCCTTTGCACATGGGTTAATTTTCTCTGACTCATGGAAAACTATGGTGTCACTGCATTTTCAAAATTATTAATGTTTAAGAGATTATTTTGCTAACTTCCTCTGTTCCCACAGAGCTGCTGGCTTTATCCTTGAACTTCAGATGGTCTATCTGGCATTGGTTTTTATCCTCTTACAGATAAGAAATCCAGCTCTGTGCTCCAGTTCTCCTGTGATGGCTGAGGACAGTGCAAATATGTACTTTCTGCTTTTCTAAGTCAATCTGTGTCAAGCTTCCCCCACAGTGTAAATTAGAGTAATATGGTGAACTAAATTACAGCAGCTGAATACACCATATAGTTTGTAAAGGGGAACATCAAAATCTCAGAATAAAATTTGCGATCCACAAGTCTTTTCAAATGCCACAGAATCACTGAACTCCACAGTACTTTC